ATAGCACTATGTACTTAGAGCATTTGACTCAATTTATTGCAGCAATGAAGCAGTGACACTAATCTGGCTCGAGGCACTGTTGTCTTTCAGATTAGCTAGGTGTTGATTTTCTAAAACAAAACAACTCTTACATGGCTTTTTTATCCATCATAAAAACCACCCAAAACTGAATGAGCTCTTAAGGCTTCATCTATTAACTTGGCATAACACTGTTGTCTACAAGGTTTCTTTTTGAATCTTTCTTTCTCCTCGTTATATTGGAGAGGATAGAAAGAAGATTAGGAAAAGGAAGGATTGTAAATGTAAGGTACCTCAGAGATTTAAAAAGTCTTGTGAAAACTGATCGGTCCCTCCTTTTTATCTTACTATGTAATGCAGTATTTTTTATTTCTTCTTAATTTAATCACACATCTAAAGATAAAGGAGGATAAAAAGGAGGGACTGATCAGTTTACACAGAGCCCCAACACAATAGCGAGAGAGGAGAAAGGATATGTCTCAACCTGGAACATGTCTGAAAGATCCATCCTCATGTTATAATACCTGAGAAGCATACACTAAATTAAATACAATTCAGAGGTAATAAAACAGATACGTGTGTATGTGCACACCCGCACATGCAAATAGAGGTAGACACAAGCTGTGTTAAAATTATTTATTGAGATTGCTTAATCAAGCACTCAAAAGCCAAGAAATGCCACATGGATGCCCGTGGAATCTGAATTCCATCCTGGGCACTGGAATGAAGCTGAGCACTGAAATAATAGTATGGGCCTCCGGGGAATTAACAACGATCGTAACACACACACACACACACACACACACACACACACACACACACACACACACACTGAACTGAGGTGGCATGAACAGAAAATTTGGCTTTGTAACCTAATTAATGTTTTTAATGTTTTTTAAAAAGGGTAATTTTCTAGTTTGGGTGGTTAGTTTTTGGGGGGCTGTTCATAAAGAAAAAGAAAAAACAGATCCTATGATGTGTGATTAACAATACCACACTTTGAATTATCAGTGTTTGAATCCTTAGCTTTCAGGACTGCAGCACAGAATGCTAACTCCTGTGCAACAGGGCTAACTATATTAATTGGTGGCAGGAGATGGCTGGTATCTTTGAGGGGGGAGATAAAAGCACAGAGTTGAAAGGGACTACTAGATGACCATTTAGTCTGACCTCCCTTCTATCACAGGCCACCAACACTACCTGAACACCAAACTCAATAATGCAAACAAGACTGAAGTATTTTTGCTCACAGGAGAGTAGACTACAGGTTGTACCTCCCTTCACCAGAACTCTCTGGTCCAGTAATATCCGTGGTCCTGCTGGGTCCAACCTGTATTATGTGCCACAGAGAACTTAGGCCAGAGGGCAGGAGCATGGCAAGGGGGAGGGGACAACTCAGCTGGAAGCTGTGTGTTGAGGGGGCGGAGCGGCGCCACAGCAGGGAAATCAGGTCCCAGCAGCTGGCCAGTAGCACGGGAGTAGCAGCAGCCACGCATCTCCGGCCCCAGCAGCAGCCAGGGAATTCCAGTCCTGGATGCACAGCTCCAGCCCTGGCAGCGGTGGGGCCAGTGGGAGCTGGTGTGTTCCAGCCCAGGGAGCGATGGCTGGTCACGCAGCAGCAGGGCAGGCTGGAGCCCTAGCAGGGAGAGAGAGTTAGGGGGAGGAGGAGAAGGGGGACAGCATTTTAGCACAGGCCAGGAGAGGAGTGACCTCCTCTGGTCCAGCAAATCCGCTTTATCAGGACCGGTCAGGTTGCGAGGGTGGCAGACCAGGGAAATCCAACCTGTATTATGTGCCACAGAGAATAAGAGGGCAAACGTTGCATCCATGGCTGAGGCCCTCACAACAGCAGGGAAATGGTTAAGTGAGACATACCCATACAATCCTGATAACAACCCACGCACACTCTGCCGAGGAAACGGAAAAACCTCAGTGTCCAATCTACTCTGGAGCAGAATTATTTCCTAGCTCCACAGAGGTAATCATAGAGCTCCTGAGAATGTGAGCAAGATGAACAACTGAGTCCAGGGGAGAGGGCGGTGAAGAATTCAGCCTGGCCTACCTCTATCCTCCTCACTTCAGGGGGCTCCTGTCCCACATTAAGTTATAGGGGAAAAGGTATGTCTGAGACGGGCTCCTGGAGTCATGTTCACATTCCACAGGGCAGTTAGAGAGTCTAGGTTGGCTCTGACTTTTGCTCTGATGCCTACCAAAAAGTTGACTGCAATTACTATGCTGCTGTGCTCAGATCACTACCTATTACACTGACCCATACTGTCGCATTTTTCCTAGTCTACCACCATCTGCCTATATCCATTTCATATCTTATACTTAGATTGGGAGCTCCCTGGGGCAGGGACCAGCTTCGTGTTTTTATTGTGCCTAGCATAATGGAGTCTTGGGCCATAACTGGAGCCCACATTAGGGATCTAAGCAGCTAATCGAGTGACTATTTGACTAGTTGCTTCCCCCTCCCCGCCCCCATGTGTTGCCTTTACCAGACGCAGGAAGGGGGCAAGCAGGAGCTGGTGCTGAGGGGAGCTGGCTTAAATGCCAGTTCCCCCCAGCACTGTGTCCGTGGAGGGGTAGGGGAGGCAGAGGCAGCAGGCGACTGGCTTTGAGATGGGAATCAGGTGTCCCAGCTTGTGTCTGGTCCCAGATGCTGCACCTCTGCCTTTAAAAAGAACCTGGCAGCTCTTACTACATTTTCAAGGCAGAGCTGCAGTGGGGCTAGTTTTGTTTAATTAGCTGATTAAACAAAATTTAACATCCCTAGCCCACAAGGTGTATGGTAATACAAATATTAATGTATTAATGGTGACTGGGATCACTGGGGCCAGATTCTGGAGGTTTAACAGAAGTGAAGAGCCCTGTCTGACTCTCTCTCTGCTCCTGGCCCATGTAATACACTGGGGCCATATAGGGAGGAGTAGCCTATGACAGCTGCTGTAGTAGCTTCCAGCTGCTCCCAGTGCAGTGCTATGACCAAGCTCAGAATGTTCTTAATGTATTCTTTGGACTTACTGCCAAAATTTTGCTGAGTAATAGAAAAGAGAAAAGAAAATGGCAACACTTAACAGTTTGTGTCTTGGAAAATACTGAACAAAAGGGACAAAGGAAAGGCAATTCTGCAGCCTGGAGGCATACTGCTTGCTGAATATTGAAGACCTGCTGTAAGCAAGTGAGTCAGTCTCTCAGTGAAGATTGCATGAATCTTTTCTTTTGTTAGGTAGCCTAGATGTAGTGACTGCAGGCAGTTGCCCATTTCAAATAACATCACATCATGGGAGACCACGATCGTGATCGTACATAGTCTACAAGATGATGATGGAGAAAGAAATGAGAAAATTCAAAAAGCAATGTGATACTAAAAAGAATTCTTATAGGACATTTGGGGATTGAGACATGTTAATACTAAGTAGGAGTATTTTGGCAAGTATTTTCCAGAGAGAAACAGGCTGCCTTTTCCTCACAATTAAATTGGTGGTAATACCATTGAAGTCAATGGAGTTATACTGAAGTAAAACTGGTGTAAGTGTAAGGAGAAACAAGAAAAATGTGTAAATGCCATATAGCAGCATCTGCAGCACTGAAATTTGCAAAAGGAGACACGCATCATGTAATGGGCTGGCAGTCGTCATTCACAAGGGCCCCTTTGTCTAACTGTACGTGCCTACACTTTCTGAGTTGTCGTGAGTCTTCAGCTACTTGGCAGTCTGTATGTGAAATAAAAAGCAAAACTCTTCCAGGGTACAAGTCCAGCAGAGGCTTCTTGCAGTGCCCTCTGTTACGTCCTTTATTTGCATCGTTATCACTCATCTCACCCCTCTATCAGGGCCTCTAGACTGCAAGCTTCTTTCGGAAGAAGCTTTTCCGGAAGTGATCTTCTGAAAAAACTCCTTCCGAAAGAAAGCGTCCACATGGCAAAAGCGCATCGAAAAATCGATATGCTTTTTCAAAAGAGAGGATCCACAATGAATGAATGCTATATCACATGTAAGCTGTGACTACTATGGACGGAATGGCCACTAGGGCCCCTGTGCTTTTTCCTCTTTCCTCTTCTTTCGGAAAAACTCCCTCTTCCCCATCCACATACGCCTTTTTCCGAAAGAGCCCTTTTGGAAAAAAGCTTTTTCCTTGTAGAAAGAGCAAAGCTGCAGAGGCACGGGACCCCTCTG